GTTTCAATTAATGGGTTGATCATTGAAAACTATCCGCAGTTTTATTAAACCTTTTCCAAGCCGATTTCTCTTAACTTTTAGTTCTACAACACAAGTTTCCTAGTAAAATAATGTACTAAATGACGCAAAAAGATAAATATAAAATATAGATTGCAAATTTAATATATCAAATTTGCACTAACAGTAATGCTTCATAGAAAAACAATACATAATTTATTATATTTGTATAAACAAATACAAAAGTTTAAATTAATTAATTAATTTGGAAAGATTTTCTAAAATACCAAATCATTTGATTTCATAGATTTCTTAATTGTGTCCAACTTCTGTTCCAAATACCTTCCAAAAATTCTTAACATATTCTCCAATTGTTTTACGAACTCTTCACTCAATACCTTAGGTCGTTCTATAAAGTAAAATTGTTTACTAATCAGATAAATAGTTAAACACATGCAATAATTACTTGCAAGCTTACATAGATCTGTGGACATTTATAATAACAATCTAGTTGTCATATTTACATAGACACCTAATATAACAAACGTTTCCTCAATAATTCTTTCCAGTACATCACAAACTGCCTCTAGCCTCTAACAAATCTTGAAACTATCAAATCTTCACACTAAGTATTATCCAAAAATATAATATAGTGTTAATTCTGACATTGAAGATGTCTGCCGATAATATTGTAATATAATAAATCATTTAAGGTTTGTGGTTTTCATTCTAAACATGATGGGAGAGTAACAATTAAGTGTGTAACCTCAAAAAAAGAGAAATTCTTGCAAAAGAAATTAAAAAAAAATTAAATAACATCTATGAAAATGAGACACCAGCTATGCGAAACCCAAAAATCCTCATTACAGGCATGAGCGAGCGTTTGGAAAATGATGAACTTCTCCAGGCAATAAGAAATCAAAACAATATGGAGTTTAAGTATATAAAAATCTTGAAAATCTATGAGTTCGTCAAAAACAAAAACATCTTTAATGCTTTAGTTGAATTAGATGGTATAGCCTTCAAGCGAGTTATGAGCGTTCGTAGGCTAAGTATTGGTTGGGAACGATGCATAGTATACGAAAACTTGAATGTAATGCGATGCTACAAATGTTGGGGTTTTAACCATAAAGCGACTGTTAGTAAGGAAAGTGAACATGTATGTGCAAAATGCGGTAAAGTTGAACACATATACAAAGAATGTAAGAACAGCTTCAACAGATGTGTGAACTGTGCCAAAGCCAAAAAAAATCTACATCTGAAAGATCTCAACATAGACCATGATTCCAGGGATCTGGAAGCTGAAAGAACTGATTATCAACTTTGATGGACCACAAAACCTTGATAAATATATTTAGTAAACTAAATTGCGGTCTAAATATGGTACATTTTAATGCTAGAAACCTAACTGATCTAAAATTTGACTACATTAAGACTGTTTTTGAAAACTCTGATGTTGATGTCATATGCGTGTCGAAAACTTGATTTAATAGTGACATCAGTAGTTTATATCTTTCACTGAACATTTATATTTTATACCGCCATGATAGGAAGCAAAAGAAAGGAGGTGAGGTTGCAATTTATTACAAGTCTTATTTGAAAAGTAATTTGGTATGTGTGTCTGGTGTCTGGTGAGTCTGACATTGAATTCGTTATCATAAGCATCAATGTTGGTTTTCATAAAATGTTGGTGGGGTGTGTGTATAATTCACACAATCGCTTCAGTTGCGATCCCTTTTCTGATTCACTGCAAACTATCGCGCTTAATTTCGGCTTCCTAGCAGTCCTTGGTGATTTTAATAATGATCTTCTCTCAAACTGTGGTAACGTTTCCCGTTTAAATGATCTTATTGCTGTGTCGGGCTTAAGTATCGTTAATAGTAACATTCCTACTAGATATGCCAATAATGTTAAGCCTAGTTTTCTGGACATAATTACAGTTTCTGATTTAAGGAAAATATTGCTGTTTGATCAGACTTCATTTGTTTCAGATCATGACCTACTATTTATTACGCTAGACTTTAAAAAAACTAAAAACTCTATCTCAAATAGATTTTCTTTTTGGAATTATAAATCAATTGATTCAGTGAGGAATTATAAATCAATTGATTCAGTGAGGTTGGTATGTTATTTCAGCTGATCAAAAGTTAGATGTATTTAATAGGAAATTGCTTAGCCTTCGTCACATTTTCATACTATTGCCATCAATAATGTTTCTTGCCCATGGTTCAGTACTAGAATAAAACGTTTTATAAATTTAAGAAATAGAAAATATGCAGTTTGGAAAAAGGCTGCAAAAAATACAAATGAATGTGTCCAAACTCCATGAAAGTGCTTAATTCAGTTAAAATAATAGCATATATATCATATTTATTTTCTTATTAAAGATAAGGTTGCAACATCATCTATAGATCATCAGTTAAATTCCTAGACGGTTTGATTTAACTACAGTGCAATCAGCTAGAAAGTGATTTATTATTATAAATATATTTAATATATATATGCACATATATTAAAATAATTATATATGTAATTATTCAAACAACAAAACGCAATGTTTCTTGATATTTTTATTAAACTTCAAACTTTTATTAAACAAAGATCTACTTTAGTCAAAAATAAAATGCAGTCTTTATGAATTTATGTTTTACCTTAACTTTGCAAACTTATCAAACTTATTATACTTCTATTTATCTTCTTCTCTCCTTTTATATCTTTCTTTTCTTCTTAACTAGCTTTTATTTCAATCTTTGCTCTCATATCAATCTGTGCTTTTATTTCACTGCCTTATCTCCCCTACCAGGTAGGTAGGTAGGTCCCCTACCACACTACTTTATCTATATATATATAATAATATATAAAATGCACGTTTTATTTATTATTTCCCAAATCAAGAACTAGTTAATACATTACTGCTGCAGTGTACAGTGCGGGTACAATTTACACCATTCGACGCATTATGAACTAGTACAAAGACCAGTTCCGAGGTATATCATACGGGGACAATTCACACCGGCAATGACAACTCAATGTGAAATCCACCAGTTGAGCCCACGTAAAATGGATTATGAAGCGACTAGTACAATGCACCTTGGAACTACTGAATTCACTAGTTCAGAACTAGTCACAGACCCTCCTGGGATTCATGTCAAAATTTGAAAAAGCTACACAGACTTTATGTTACTTATACATTTTATTTCAAGTAAAATTTGTGTTGATGTGTGTATCAGCTGTTTTGGTTTGAACTTAAATTTTTGTATCGTTTATTTGCGCGCCACTGGTGGTCTCGCCAAATTTTACTCAAAGCTGTTCAAAGAAACTCTGTGTAAGGAACGTAATTTGGCACTTTATTTGTGTTACGCTCTTTGTTTGTACTTTACTTGTGTTTTACTTGAGTTTTACTACAAGTAGCTCGTGGAACAGACCTACGAACAGGGTAACAAAATAAAATAAAAAAAGAGACAGCAAATATGAATCACATATAATAAAATAAAATTTAAATTTAAATTTAATTATACACAATTAGAAATTAAATATTTCACAATAATATTTTCACATTAACCGCTTTAATTGCGTGTTGCATTGGTTGCAAAAAATTTAAAATGCTTTATTGTAGTCTTAAAAATGAGTAGATATTAATGTTGTGTGGTTATAGAATATTTTGCATTCACGAAATTCAAAATATGTTCATTATCATTATTCAATTACAATTTTAAATTAATGTATGTATGTACCTGAAAAAGTTAATTCTTGATATGTCTAATAAATTACTGTAAAATTACGTATTTTATTTACATAACTTATTACTATATAACAATTTGTAGTATTGTATCTTAAGTGGACAACCAAGAATAATCAGATATAACAGTACCGGAACGAGTGAAAGTCGGCAAGAAATTTCGCCAGATAAACAATTATATAAATTTAGATACATTAGAAACGTTTTTATTAAAAACCATTTTAGTAGATGTATTGATTTATTTAAATTATATACCACAATTTAAAGTATATATCCATAATATGTGTATTTATTTATTAATAGTTTAAAAGTACAGAGCATTCTATTAGAATTGAATTATTGTTATTAATAATAATAGTATTAGTTTCTCTATATTTATATACATTTTTATATTCCACATTCTATGAACATGTATTTTATTGTATTTTATCTATATTGATATTGTTATATTATAAATAAATGCTTCATATATGTATTTTGGCTTAAAACTATACAAAAATTAACATTGAGAATTAAAATGTGTCAAAAGCCACTACTATTACACTACTAAAGTACTAAAGTACAAAAGTAGCACTACTAAAGTAGTGTAATACTCCATAACATAGGACTTTAAGTTGAAGTCTGATTATGATCCGTGAAAATTGTACAATTTGCGAGTTTTAATAATAAAAAACTATTACATTTGTTTTAACGTACCATGTTTCTAAATTAGTATTAACTCTCAATTGGTAAACTTAACATATGACGTATACATATCCGATTGGAAAGTCTGGATTCAATCAAGATTTACTCTAGATCTGTCAAATGTTGTTCAATCGAACATTTTTAAGGTATTCTAACATATTTTTAAGTAGTGTTAGTAGACATTTTTATTTTTCATAAATACATATATCGATCACATCATACATTATTTGTCAAGTCACATTAAACAGCTGTTAATTTCGGGGTAATCGTGCTACTCTGGCAAAATATCTAGACTGTCATATTCAAGTTAATCTCGAGTGCTGCGCATTAATCTCGAGTGTTATGCAGATTAACTAATCAAAAATGAAAATTAAACCTTAAACCAAGAGTGAATCTCGATTAAAAAAGTAACACCAGATTTACCAATTGAAGCGCCATTACAATAAATTTTTTTATGATTTATATTTATTGAACACTATTAAAAAGCGTTCAAATATTTATAATACGGTATTAATTTTAATACATACGTACAAATAATATATAAATTTATTTGTGTTTTGCTTATGTTTCACATATTCATTTGTGTAAATAATGTCATTTGTGTAAACTTGATTCAGCAATGTGCACTTTCTTGTTTTTGCGTTTTCCATCACTGCATCACAGGTAAATGTCAACTATAGTTCAGCAATTTGCTGCAAAGCGTCAGGCAAAGACGCTTTATAAGAGCTGTGTAGGAACTCAATTTGCTGTAACATAGTTTATTATTTGAAGTGAAAGTAATAGAAAATATCACAAATAGGAATAAATTGCAATACTTTGTCGGTCGAAAGTTCGGTTCGAAAGTTAGCTGTCGTGTACGATCACGGACATAAAGTTTATAACAAAAGCACGGAATGAGGAGGCTTGGGCTGCAATAGCAGTTGAATTCTAAGAAACGGGTATGGATTTCTTATTAGTAATTAAGCAATAATTGTGGTTGGTTACTGGTCTTCAATACTATGCAATAAGTGTATGCGTTCATGAATAAAAAACCTTCAAAAAACAATATTTTACATGGATTGTTTGTTCAAGACAGGATGCTTTCTAAAAAAATGAAAAAATGAAAAATATTTATTGCAAATGTTTAAATGGAAAAACGCATCAGCAGTTGGTGGTTTTCAAACCAACACCTTTGAAATTAAAGTTTATTTTTATTGTTTTTGAAATGCAAAAATCCTTTGATATAAGTGAAGAACATAAACATGAGGTAAGTTAAAAATTAAATTGCATATTTATAAGTTTGTGAAACTATATTTGGAGGTTGCTTGATCCCCGATTTAATTGGATTTAAAATTGCAAACTTTTCACATGACAATCACAAACACAAACACAAACACAAACACAATCTCAATCAAACAATAACTTGTGATAGCTAATTGATTATTTATATAGTTTATTAGTATACCTCCGATAATTAATTGTGTTCACGCAGAATTAAAAAAAAACAAATTTACTTTGAGAAAATATTGACACAGTCAGCGTTTCAAAAGTTATACTTAAGACAAAATACATATTTTTCATAATGAGTTGATACTAATTTTTGTTTGATAATATCTGTCAATTTGCAGAGCATAGGAGTAAGAAGATTTAAAGTTACCTCTGTAACAATATTGGTCTTTCTTCTTTCAAGCAATTGAAGGCTTGCTTGTCTATTGTCTATATCATAATTTCTTTTAACAAATTCAATAAATGCACAATCGGATCCTTGTCTGATGATTGGATGAACGGTTTGCAGTTCTCAAAACGTGTTCTGCGGTACCTACTCTTTCACGACCATTGTAGTATGTTTGGGGTGTTAATGGTAATAAATTTAGATCAAAATGTTAAGTTCGTTCAGTATTTTCGTTCTGGTTTACTTCAAAAATTTTAAATAAACTTTCGTTTCCATAATTCTAACAACATAACAGGATGCCGCCAATCAAACTTATATATAAATTATTAATTTAATTTGTTTAATATGTTATTTTGTTAATGAATTGTTAATATAATACTGCGAATATATTGTTGCCTAATAAAATATAGTTATTATTAATAAAACATCTCATATACGTTCATTTAAGTGGTACATGTAAAAACAACTTTATAGAAGGGCCGCACACCCTTCCAGATAGGGCACGCGTCGCCACTGCGCTGAAGTATGTGTGTCCGATTCGCCACATGTATATCTACATTATGTTTTCGCGTTTATATAAAACAACAAGAGCTTTAAACAAAAATGAACAATTATTATATACAGCCATAGTCAAAAGTATTTACACAACGAAAGTTTTTGTGCATATTGCATAAAAACATGTTTTTATTGTTGTTGTTGGACGTCAGTTGCAAAAAAATTTTTTTGTTGTCACTTAGATTTATCAATGCAGAACCAAATAAAAAAAGAATTGGAAAGATAACTGTTCATTTGACAAAAATATAAGCAACTGCACTGATGCTTATTAGTAGTCAAAAGTATTTACACGCATTTTTTCGCGTCAAAAGTATTTACACAAAATATTAATTAGCATTTATTGTAGGATTTTCTTTAAGCAAGTACAGTCGTTGGCTATTGTCACAAACTACACAAGTTTAGAGATTTCAAAATTTCAGAAATTATTTAGGAAAATGATAAAAATCAAGGAATTATCAGTTGAAATTCGATCTGAGGTTGGCACCTAATATAAGAGTGGGATTCCGGGACGAATTTATTAAAGTTATGCAAAATTTTATATAAAACGATGTGAAATCTAGATAAAAATAAGAACATATGCAAAAATTTAATAAATTTGAAGAGAACTGGGCGGAAACCTCCCATGAATCAAGGGGAATGCACATGATTATTAGGAGTAGTCATAGAAAATCCTACAATAAGTTCTGGCAAAATAGCAGCATCATCGGAAAAGTTGATTTACAAGATTATTAGTGATGCTACACTACATCGCAGGTGGAATAATATTAATATCAATACCTATGTGGTGCACTAAATAGTCAATATTACTCTAACGATCTTATTAAATATTCTCTCATTTGCTTTGAAGTATTTTAAGTAACCTATACAGTTTTGAAACAATGTGTTATGAACAGATGAGTCTGAATTTCAATTCTAGGGTTCATTTGATAACCACTCCGTGCATTTTCGACAATGCCAAAAGAATTAAGCAGTGCAGCCACTCAATAGATTTGAAGGTGGCACGGTTTTGTTTTTGGAATGTCTATCATACAATGCATTTGGAGATTTGGTACCGAAAAATGGCACCTTAAATCAGTCCGGTTATATTGGTATTTTAAATAACCATGTCTTGACGTCAGAAAATAGACCTTTTCCTATCAATAACTGGGTTATACAACATGACAATGCACCATGTCATCAAGGATGTGGACTTAATCCAATTTTAAAAGAGTTAAATCCTACTGTTTTTTTATAGCCTGCACAGAGCTCTGGCCTTAATGTCATTGAATATGCTTGAGACTTCATAAAACAGCAAAATACTATTGATAAAAATCCAAAATGTAGTGATATCATAATTGAAATAGCGAATATTCGGTCCAAATTGATTCGCAGCTGGATTCGATCAATTCCAGCTAGGTTACGGGCAATTATTGATGCCAAAGGTGGTGTAACCAAATATTAATTATATTAATTAAATAAAAATAAAAAAAATTTTTAAAAATTCATCAATTAAGAAGAAGAAAATGAAATTAACGTTTTGTGTAAATACTTTTGACTACTAATAAGCATCAGCGCAGTTGTTTATATTTTTGTCAAATGAACAGTTATCTTTCCAATTCTTTTTTTATTTGGTTCTGCATAGATATATCTAAGTGATAACAAAAAAATTTTTTGCAACTGACGTCCAACAACAACAATAAAAACATATTTTTATGCAATATGTACAAAAACTTTCGTTGTGTAAATACTTTTGACTATGGCTGTATACTAAAACTACGCATCATCATGTGTCCATCATCATTTACAACTGTTCGCAAGCAGTTAAAATTGTAAATCCACAATTCAAAAAATATTTTGGATTTAAAGAAAAAGTTTTTTAACTTTGTTAAAGTAAAAAATGTAAACAAATTATGATGTCACACAATTTTATAAGATTTTATAACTTATCAGCGCAATGCCTAACCTTAGTATTTAACGTTCTTGGCGGTATATAGAAGATTTAACAATTGCATACTTACAATTACTGTCGATTAATTGCACTTTATTTAATAATTTTTAATTTTCGCAATGTTTATGATATTTTATTTTTATCGCTTTGACGAATAGCTATTAAATAAAGCGTCTACTAAATACCGCCTATTTTCACTTTAAGATGCAGATCAGTAAATTTTTAAATGCTCGCGCAACTTACATGTATTCTCAAGAATGGTAGAATTAGGGTTTGAATTGCTGTGACTATTTTCAAGCAATTATTTTTGACTACAAAAATAAAATAAGCCAAATGCAAATGCCACAACAAAACGTACACAGTACAAATGTGTGTGCACACAACTGTGTACAATAGCGATTGTACGTTTTGTTGTTGCATTTGCATTTGGCTTATTTTATTTTCGTAGTCAAAAATGCCTAGCGACAAATGTCTCCTAAAAAACTGCTGGGAAAAGTCACACCTAACACACAAATACTACTGCATTTTCTTTTGCTTTGCAACTTCTTTCAGCATTGAGTAAAAATATTATAGAGTCACAATGCCATAGAAATTAATTTTTGTTCTAGGTATCTATTAATGAGTACCCAAATCACTCAAATCTCTGCCGACGTCGCTTCAGTCGTTTTTGCTTCATACCAAAGAAGATTTTGCAATATTCTCTGCTTCATAGGTTCAAGAAATTTTTATATTTCTTTTTTGTGTTTTTTTCTACTTTTGCTCTTTGAGGTGTTGTTATTGTTTCCTTGAATTATAATGTAAGTAGTAAAAAGAATTATTCGCTATTTTATATTCATTCATGCCTACTTGCTTTGTGTTTAAATATGAACATATGGACATTGATATTTTTGTATGTAATTTCGGCGGCAAGAGATATCAAAATTTTATTTGCAGCATTGAAACAATTTTTCATTATGATGGCATTTGAAGAAAGAGTTATAATTGTTTTCGTAATTAATCGTTATTAAGTATGGATTTCCAATTTTATCGCATTTACATAATATTTATATTAAATCTTAAGAAGTAATACAATCATAAGAACACATATGTATATAAAATATTTACCAATAATTGGTAAAACATTTTTAAAAATAGTATGCTTTAGTTTTGCCAAATGTATTATAATAAAATTTTGTAGAAATCAAATTAAGATGAATAAAAAAACTAAAATTAAACCTTCGGTTTATATGGCAGTTTGAATAATTAACGCTATTTCGCAAATATATGCGCTTCACACATACTGAATAAGTATAAACGGAATATCAGTACAAGGGGTACAAGTGTATCGACTATTAGCTTTTGTAAGCGGATAATTGCCGAGAAATGGAGATTTATTTAAATAACTGCATAATCATTGATAGTTACTAGATCGACATACATGAAAGGTTATCGTTAATTAAATAAAAATGACAATTTTCATGTTACTAGTTGCGTACTAATTTCCAGACCACCTTTGAGGTATAATGCATCGTGCGTTTTTTTTTTTCATGGTGTTGTCCCCAGGAGGCCTAGTCTATGTTAACGAAGAAATTTTGTTTAAAAAAAATAATATTGAAAATTGATTTTTTTTACTATTTCAAAGTTTTTTTATATTATTTGTTCTCTATTTTGACTATAATTTATAATCGTCCTTAAGAATTTGAAGAACTTTAGTTTTTTATATTAATATACATTAGTATTTTCGACAAAAAGATTTTTTGCATATAAATGATAAAGATATATATTATCACACATAAATAATTGGAAAATAGAATGTGAAAAAGAAGAAAGAAAACAACCTGCAGAAGATTTTCCGAAAATACTCCTAAACCTGCCTAAAATCCTACCACAACAAGGCCCAATGACAAAACGACAACAAACAACGCTCAGCAATAGAGGAATACCACCACCAATAAGAGTTCTTGCCGTTATTAGATATATATATGATACATTATTTTTTATTGTTTATATGTATAAATTGCTTTGTTTAAAATATTATTGTATATTAACACAAAAAATTATAAATTGATCAATATCACGTGAATAACCATAAAAAATAGCGAAAATTTCTACGTAATAAATATTAATATTTACATTTTTATACATATTTATTAACACATGTTTATTAATAACTATCTTAAAATTAATTCACTTAAACTATGTATTTTGAACAAAATAAATAAATAAAGTAAGTAGTTATGGTAATAAATAAATTATAAATAAATGTTATTAAGCGTGTATTAGGGCAAATTTGTAATATAAGGTCATATAACAATTTATGCCTTAGTCGATTTCACTTTCTCTACCATCCATATGCAGTGCTTACGAAGTAATATAAGCAGAATAAAGCCCAGCAATTCAATTCGATGAAGTCTGTAGGCCTCAATAAACCAACTCGGTAAATTATGGTAAAGTAAACTGAAATTTCCTAGGGTTTTTTGCACTGCACTTATGTTAAAAGTTTTCAAATTTATTTATTTTTTTATTATACATTCTATAAAATGTTCCCAATGGTAATACCTAATTTACCTAATTTACCATACTCGAAATTCTGGTAAATACCAACATTCGCTGCCATACGGACATAATTTACTATTTTCCTCAATTTACTTTCAATTACTCGAACTCACACACGGTCAATTACATACAATTATCTTATTTTAGCTAATACTAATATAACTTACATATAACTGTTATTATACCTGATTAAAACAAAAAATTGAAATTGGTTGCATTTGCTTCAAATGTTCCTAAAATAAGATCAAAAAATATTCATATTCTTTCAAATAAAAGTACATATGTTTATAAATATACATTTATACTCATACATATATATATGTAGATCAGTAAACTTCCAAACAAGTAGGGATGTTTCTCTTATTTGCATTATGAAGTGATATTAAATGCATGAAATTTTTACGTGCTGCTTGCTGGTGCCAAGCATTAATTGCAAAAACAAATAATTACACCAAAAACAAATTTAACTCTTTTCTTGTACTGCTTGCCTTCGTAAACAAGCAAATCTGTTTTTTGTTTTCAGTTTTGTCCTTCATTCATCAATAGTAAAATTTTTAGAAAGAACAAGCACAAGCGCGGCCGATCTAGCAGCAGCGCAGAAAGAAGAAATATCTTCACTCCGCCCTCCCGTGCCTGTTGCTGAAAATTTAAAAATTGAGTCATTGTGACTCTATAAAATTTTTACTCAATGTTTTAAGTCAGCATTTTTTGATATATCTATTCTACTGTCACTCAGTCACTCAGAAATAAGGCTTATGCCATTGAGTAAAAATATTATAGAGTCACAATGCCATAGAAATTAATTTTTGTTCTAGGTATCTATTAATGAGTACCCAAATCACTCAAATCTCTGCCGACGTCGCTTCAGTCGTTTTTGCTTCATACCAAAGAAGATTTTGCAATATTCTCTGCTTCATAGGTTCAAGAAATTTTTATATTTCTTTTTTGTGTTTTTTTCTACTTTTGCTCTTTGAGGTGTTGTTATTGTTTCCTTGAATTATAATGTAAGTAGTAAAAAGAATTATTCGCTATTTTATATTCATTCATGCCTACTTGCTTTGTGTTTAAATATGAACATATGGACATTGATATTTTTGTATGTAATTTCGGCGGCAAGAGATATCAAAATTTTATTTGCAGCATTGAAACAATTTTTCATTATGATGGCATTTGAAGAAAGAGTTATAATTGTTTTCGTAATTAATCGTTATTAAGTATGGATTTCCAATTTTATCGCATTTACATAATATTTATATTAAATCTTAAGAAGTAATACAATCATAAGAACACATATGTATATAAAATATTTACCAATAATTGCCAATAACTCGCCAATAACAGATGAAAAGCACTAAGGTCATGTGCAACTTCCAGGTTAACGTGGCCCACCTATAATAAAAATAAATCCCTGGAACTGATCAAAAGAGATCGCGTAAACACTGCGAGGCTTATTGCAGTTCGTACTGGTCATTGGTGTATAGGAACTCACGCAGAGAAACTGCATATTCTCTATAACTCTCACTACAGAAGTTGTAGAAACCCGCAGAAGAAAGAAACAATAATACATTTTCTCTGTGAATGCCCAGCTCTAGCATCCAGAAGATATAATTTCTTAGGAAAATACTTTTGTGATAGTTTATCAGACTGCTCAATGGTGAAGATGAAAGACCTTATAAATTACCTAAATTCAGTGGGATGGATTTAGTCTCTACTCTTCTATACTAGGGTTCTTGCGAGGAATGTGGTAACAAAACGGCGAAAAATCGCTAATTGTGGTACATTTGAAGTTATCTTATGACCTGCCACTGCAACCAACCAACCAACCAACCATGTACATATATTCCGATTTACTTCAATTCTTTTTATGTTTTATTTTAATAAATGCCAAAAAGACTAAAAGACGTCATTTTCCTTTACATATTTTAGTTTTATTTATATTATGTATTGAATTTCATTAATATTGTTATTTTCATTATTTCAGTCAATATTTGTAAAATTCGGTCGAAATCGAAACGTACGTCCACTCGTATAAGGAGAATTATTTAGCTGATCTTGTTGAATTATTAGTTCCTCATGCACAAACAAATAATGATATCGATTATATAGAACGATTTGATAATGAAGATGCCACAAAAAAAAAAAAAGATGCCAAGAAAACTGAAAATAATTGACGGGCCTTCATTTTTAAATGAAGATCATTCAAACACAAAAACTAATGCAGATCTTCAAGCTTTATAATCTGAAGGCGAAGAAATACCACCGGCTAAGTTTGCAAACGTTCAAATCGATACAAGCTTTGCAAAGCGAACACAATTACAATTAAATACATTTAAGCCAATTATGTGTGAGAAATCTTTACAATTTGATACGAATAGATCGAAAGAAGACACATATTTCGATATATATAAACCATATATAAAAACAGTAAATAAACGACAGCGTATCGTGTTAATTCAAAATATTTTTAAAGCTATAGTTACGACTTTAGATGACTGTAGAGACTTCAATGACTCTGTAATTGAAAGTCCACAAAGCAAAAAATTTAAAAAGAAAACAGTTGAAAATAAATCTTATTCAGTACCAATAGGACCAGGAGCCAGACTCGCACCAAGAGTATCATACACAGTTTCGGAAAGAGTAGATGGTGCTACGACTGCTATGGCAATTATTCAAAAATCGACTCTACCAATTTTTACGGTACATGCAAATAATGCTAGAGCAATTAATAATTTTAGTCATAGCCTCTTAAGACAAAATGCACCACAACCACCATCTGACAACAACAATTCTGACGACGAATTTGCTGGTATTATAAGAACGGATGAGTTGGGGCTATGGATAAAGGACGAACCACTTGACGATTATGATTTGTAATTCAGTTTTGAAAATATGGTTGTTTTGTTTTTTTTGATTTAATATTAAATTTATAAAATAATCGAATACTTAGTAATTATTAAAAATTTTTTTCTAATTTATTTATATATATAGAACTATAATTTATTTTTCAAAATTTTTATTTTAATTTACTTAACTAAATAATAATGTAAAAATTAGTGTATTAAATATGTTAAAATAAATTTGTTTAAAAAGTTTAAATAGAGAATTTGGCAAATGTAATACCTATTCGCCTGTTGAACAAAAACATCTCTTTTTGTATATATTTTAAGGTTTTGCCGGCCCATTGAATGATTTATTATTCAATTTATTTGAATTTGTTATAATTTATTAGGTATTTTTTATTTACGTATTGACTTATGTTAGTATGGATTAGTGTTGGTTATGACTTTTGGTCTTGGATAGCGGTGGATTCCGTGGTTCCGAGATACCAATGTTGTATTCTATTTCTTTTACTTTTATTTTGATATTATGTTATTATTATCATTTGTATATTTATAATATTTGTATACATATATATATTTATATTCATAACTATTTTTAAGTTTTTTAAGGATATAGTTTTTAAGATATTTTTAAGATATTTTTAATACAATCGTATTTTTAAGACATATGAGGACTGTTTCTTTAGTAACATTTCAATTTTCTACCACTCAGATGAATCTGGGGCTGGATAAATCCCAGACGAAACGCATCAGTGAAAACTGCTTAGAGGACTGTGACATGTGTTCTGATTACAGAACCTTATCTGCTAATAAAATGATATAACTTTTCTACAACTTTTTATATATATTCAAATTTTATCTTATAAATATTTATTCAATCTTTATTATTTTATTTCATTAACATACAAGTTTTATTTTATTAATATAAAAGTTTTTATTATTTTACAATCTTTATTTTATAATTGCACAATATACTTATAATTATACAGTGCTTTTTTGTAATTGTTATTTTAAATTTATTTGTACGATCTTTACATTTATGCAATTTATTTTGATACAATCAACATTTTTCTATAATCCTTTTTTTCTACAATCTTTTTATATATCTTTAATTTCTTTTGATATATCTTCCTTTGTTTCTCTACAATCTTTATTTATACAATCCTTTAAAGCTGCTAATTAGATATCCGTGATCATAAGTCACTGTGGCCGGTGGTCGTTATTTAGCGACACACTGTGAGCTTGGCCATGCAACCGTTTCTCCATGGTTGTAGCAACAAGACGGCAAACAAAATTCCGGCTGTTCGATACAGCCAGGGGCTTGTACATCAAATTAACAAATGAATCATAATTTAAAAGGCAGTGTATATTAATTGTGCAAAGGTAGCGTAATCATCAGTCCTTTAATTGAAGACTGAAATGAATGGTTGGACGAAATATAAGCTGTTTCATTCAAATTTTCTATAAACTTTTATTTTTTATGTGAAAAGGTAAAATATATTCAAAAGACTAGACGACCCTATAAATCTTAATTATTTGATCATTTTTGATTTATTTTGATTATTTTTGTTATAAATTTATTAATTAATTTCATTGTGGTGATATTAAAACTTAAATATCTTTCAATAATTTTTATCATTTATTAATAATAAGATGATCCATTATTAGTGATTAAAAAATTAAGTTACTTTAGAGATAACAGCGTAATTTTTTTGAAGAGTTCTTATCGACAAAAAAGTTTGCGACCTGGATGTTGGATCAGGATTCATAAATAAATGCAGAAGCTTAAATATAAACCCGTATTGACTTTTTATTCTTACATGATCTGAGTTCAAACCGGTGTAAGCCAGGGTGGTTTTTATCTTTCATTCAATAAAATACTTTAGTACGAAAGGAATTAATATTTACTTAAATGAAACTTATTTTATGAATAAATTTACTTACTTATTTTGACAGATTAGTGCAATAAATTTAGAATTTATTTATATAATTTTAAAAAGCATAAATAGTTGTTTTCTTTTAAATGAAATTATTATATCTTTATTAAGAAGTTTATTATTAATTATTTGTGTTTTAGAGTGTATTGCTTTTTTGACTTTGTTAAAACGTAAAGATTTAGGATATATTCAGATTCGTAAGGGTCCAAATAAAGTTGGATTTATTGGAATAGTTCAGCCTTTTAGTGATTATTTAGTAACGAACAAACTTATCCATTAATATCAAATTATATATCTTACTATTATTCTCCTATTTTTTCATTGTTTTTATCTATATTACTTTGAATGTGTATACCTATGTTGAGAAGATTATATAGATAGATTAATTATAGAAGATTATATAGATTTAATTGAAGTTTATTGTTTTTTTTGAAAATTACAATGATAGGGATATATACTGTAATAATTCCAGGGTGTTCTAGAAATTCTAATTATTCATTATTAGGAGGTTTACGAGCTGTTGGTCAAATATTTTCTTATGAAGTAAGGTTAGCTTTAATTTTGTTATCTTTCATTTTTTTAATCGAAGGATATAATATAATTAAATTCAAAAAATTTCAATATATAGAATTTATTTGATTAAGAATTGGCTTAGCAGAAACTAATCGTACACCATTAAATTTTGCAGAAAGGGAATCGGAATAAGTGTCTGAGTTTAATGTAGAATAAAAAAGACAAGGATTTGCATTAATTTTTTTAGCTGAATATACAAGTATTACAAGTATTTTAATTATAAGTATATTATTTTGTGTAATTTTTATAGGGTGTGGATTATTTAAAATTAAGTTTTTTTTAATTAGATTTTATTTCTTTTTTATTTATTTAAGTTCAGGAAACTTTATCTTGTTTTCGGTATGATAAATTCATGTATTTATCATGAAAGTGTTATTTACGTTACTCATTAAATTTTTTATTATTTATGGTTTGGTTAAAAATATATTTATTTATATGAATTATTTTTATTAAAGTTAATAGAAAATTTTAATTCTATTTTTTATTTTCAAAATATATGGTTATATCAAGGTCATTAACTTAAATTATAATTAAGTGAATTATCTCATCATTTATTAATTAAAGGGTTGATTAAAATTATTGTGTTAAAATATATTCGATTATAAAATAAGGTTCTTTAACTGGTCGAGCTCTGATTCAAGTTAATAAAATAACAGCAGATAATATAATTTAAAATAAAATTTGGTTGATAGGGCAAAATTGAAGTCCTTAAAATTTTCTTATGTTATAAAAAGGTATGATTATTAAAATTGCAATTGATGACACTAAGGCGATTACTTCTTCTAATTTGTTAGGAGTTGAACGTAAAATTGCTATGGAGTTAGCTGGAAAGAAATTATCTGGGTCTCCTAATAAATATGGGTTTATTAAAGTTAATAAAATTAATGATGTAATTAGAATAATAAATCCAGTGATGTCTTTAAAAATGATATAAGGATGGAATCGAATTTTATCATTGTTTGAATTTTATCCTATGGGATTAATTGATCCTAATTGATGAAGCAATGAAAGATGAATTATTGTTATTGCTAAAACAATAAAAGGTAAAATAAAATACCTAAAAAAGAAATGCCAGATAAAAGCTTAGCGTTTACTGTAGCTCCTTAAAAAAGATATTTGTCTTCATGGTAAAATATATCCTCTAAAAGCAGTTGCTATTACTAAAAATAAAATAATTACTCCTACTAATCAGGTTTGGGTATATTTAAAAGAATTATAATAAATTCCTAGTTCAATATGAAGATAAATATAAATAAAAAAAATTTGCTTCATTAGCATGAAGAGTTTGTAATAAACATCCATAATTCACATTTCGGCAAATATGTCTAATTCTATTAAATGCTATACTGATATCGGCTGCATAATGTTTAGCAAAAAATAATCTACTTATGACTGATTATTTTTGTTTATTGGAATGATTAAACATAATCCTAATAATGATACAAAATTCCATCAAGAAGAGATGTTAATTGGAGTTGGTAACTCCACTAAAGAATTATTTATAATTTTGAAAAGTGGATGTTTAATTCGTATGGGTTTATTCATTTATTTTTTAAGTCGAATTGGTCCAAAAAATATTTAAGTAATTTTTACAATGGTAATTAACAAATAATTTATTAAAATGATTGTTATGAAATTAGTTGAGTAATTATATAATTTAGTTGGAATATAGCAATTTCTTTAATCAAAATTTGTAAGTTGATTAACAATATTGATTCATTATTTATAAATATATCTATATTAACATAATTATATATATAACTATATTATATATTATAATTAATAAGATTGTTCGTATTAATCTTGTAATTAAAAGTGAAAATATTTCATTTGAAGCAATTGCTGTAACATAAATAAATAAAACTAATATTCTTCCTAAAAAGGTAAAAATAAGATACAAGCGTGAACGCAGTTCAAATACCCTTGTCACACTCCTAGTAAGTCTGATTGGTAGCAATACTTTTCATATTGTTCCTTTAACCAGGAGCAATATACACGAAGCCAAAATACAAATAGACACCGAAAATAATTTCAGGATCATTACTAAACATTTCGATGACAGCAAGAAAAATTACTACACATACCAACTGAAGAGTAGCAAAGGCCTTGTTGTCGTTATCAAAGGTATTGAGTCAAATGTAGAATCCATTGAAATCACAAATGCCATAAGCGAAAAAGGTTTTAGCGGTAGAGCAGTTATAAATATAGTTAATAAAAATAAAATCCCACATCCCATGTTTAAAGTTGAACTTTATCCGGAAGCTTCTAAGCATAAAAAAAATGACGCCCATCCCATCTACAACCTGCAATACTTACTTCACCGCAGAATTAGCGTTGAGTAACCCCACAAGCGAAATGGTTCAGTGCAATGCTCAAACTGCCAAGAGTATGGTCATATTAAGTCATATTGTACTCTTTGTACAGTGTGCGTAGCGTGTGGCGAGCTTAACCGTAGTTCCGAATGCGATAAAAAAGCATTAAAGGATACCAACTCTAAAAAGTGTAGCAACTGCATTGGAACACCTCAAACTATAGAAGCTGTCCTATTTATAAAGAACTGAAGCACAGGTTACCTCTGCAGAAAGAAACATTGCGTAATCCTACAAGAAGTAACCCCATCAAATTAGTTGAAGTACCCCTAGCTTTGACATCTAAGCCTGTTACACCAGGTGTCTCATACGCATGATTTTTATATTTATAACGCAAAAGTAATAGTTATTTGTGCTTTTTAAAATAAGAAGCAGAGTTTTAAGAGTTATTTCTGTGCGAAAAAATAAACGGCAGATGATAATAATTATTTTTGTTGAATGTAATATACAGCAAATTTAATTATTATTTTTGAGTTTTATTTTAAAGCGCTCTAATATAATAAGCATACATAATATTAAGGATAAAAGTTGTTAGAATGATAATTACATATATACTTAAATATAACTTTAGACAACTTTTTCTTGCTGCTGTTTTTCAAAAAAAAAATTTTAAATAACTGTTATTTTCGGTTCCTGATTATATTTTAATATAATTTCAGATCACTTTGTTGTGTTACTACGGCTTGCAAGTGGGTTGGATTTTTGGTAGATTGTTTTAAATTAATATTTTAAATATTAATTAATTTATATAATTCCAAATATTTGTGACATTTATTACCAATGAGTTTCTTTCCAAATTTAAATATAAGTATGAAAAGATGTGTTGTTTTATAAAAAATTTGTGTCTTGTTTGCGTGTTTTAGTTCATGTTGTTATTGTCTTTAGTGCATGTTTATGTAAATTAAAATTTAGTGTAAATTACCATCCATACAACCTTCTTTAACTTTGTGATGGTTTTTATTAAGACCTGGAAATATAGCTGATCCTTCAACATTAAATTTATTAAGAAAAATTTCTTTAATAATCAGAATTGTAAGTTGATCTTGATATTCAATAATTAGCTTATCTTTTTATATTTTTTTAGAGCTGCTAAAAGAGTATGAAGTAGAAGAAAATAAGATTAAACGCCGCTTTGAAGCAGCTACACCAGTTAAAGGCACATTAAAATATCACTGCTTTTTTCCAAATTCCAAAAAAGTATTTTCTTCTTCAGACATTACAGATTATGTATCAATAATGAAATGAGTATTAATAAAATCGCCATAAAAACCATAAAAAAATATTTTGTTTTTAACTCCACATAGTTTATTTTCTATAATATTTCTTACCTGTGCAGAATATTTTTCCAACTGTAGCAAAATAACACTTCACCGAAAAAGGCAGGAGTGATTATGTGCTGCAGTTTTCTAGGTAGTTCGGCTAGTAAGAAACTAATTAACTTTTTAATTCATCTATATAAGAAAAAAGTTTATTAAACGGTTTAATTATGTTAAAATTCATAACTTAAAAACAGAAATGATGCGGAACTAATTTAAAATGTTATGTTTTATGTATACATTAATTTTAGAAATAAAAAGTAAAAGTTTTTGTATCGTTTTTCTTCGAAAATTGATTTCATGGTACTTTGATGGGTATGAGTAACGTGAAGGACACCTGATTAATTAATTTTTTTTAAATACTTCTAAAATGAATATCACAGTGGAAACATTTATTTTTGAAGTAGAATTTATAAATTAATTTGAACCAAGAATAAAAAAAAAATTTGTGTGGCATTTTCCTTTTTTTTTTTTGTTACTGAAAAATCGTGTGTATGTGTTTGGTGTAATATGAAGGATAAATAAATTTTTAAAAGTACTTCTAAATACAATATCGTCCTGAAATTTTTGGGTTTTATGTAGAATTTTATTACTAATCGAAATCAAAAATATTATATAAGAATATATTTAGTATATTCTTTGAAAATTCATTCAATGGAAATGTAGTACGCATGCGCTTGATGTGTTTTGCGGAAGAAAAAAAAATATTAAAAAATCTCAAAAAATAAAAGCATCAAAAAAACTTTTATTTCGTAGTAAAATTTAAAACCGAATCTAAATAATATATAAAAAATGAAAATTTAGCTAATACATTTGAGAAAACTTTCTTTTGAAATTTAACGGTTAATATTAGTACTTAAATATAAACAATTTTAATTGTTTAAACAATTTCATAAAAGCACAATCAATTATCTTTGAAACGCTGAAAATTTCAAGTATCTGTCTTTTATAAAACTTGAGATAGACCCATTTGAAAATGTATCTACAATGCCAATTCTCAAAACCCCATGGATCCATATCTCCTAGGAAAAAAATTTGTAATTTTGATGAGGGACGAGATGAGGGTTTTCTTATTTTATGAAAGAAGCTCATCAAAAAAATTTCAGACAAATCGAAGATCATGAGGTCAAAAAGGTGTCCGCGTTGTAAAAGAATGACCCATATACTTTATATTTATACTCTTATAGACAACATGGACGAATTTATTCCGGAAATTTTTTGTTTTAGAATAAATAATATGCGAGAATTTTTGTTGTTATTATTACATTGAGTACCTTTAAATTTATTAATTATAAAAAGGGAAATAATTTTTTATTGATTATATTTAAATAGTTGTGAGGAAATTGTGGGAAATTTATCATTATGTAGAGTTAGATTTTAATTATTAATTAATTTGAGAATTATTTCATTTTTTTTAGAGTTGTTATTTATTAATCAAGATTTTTCAATTTTTGTAGAATGAGAATTAATTTCTTTAAATACAATTAGGGTTGTTATAAATTTTTTATTTTATTGAATAAAATTAATTTTTATATCTTTTGTTTTGTTAATTTCTTCTTTAGTAATTTATTAAAGAAAAAAATATATATTAGGGAAAATAAATATTAATCGATTTATTTTGTTATTAATTTTATTTTGTTAGTTTTTTAATATTTTTGATTGTTTCAACAAATTTAATTAGAATTTTATTACGATGAGGTGGTTTAGGTTTAGTTTCTAATTTATTAGTAATTTATTTTCAAAATGTTTAATTTTATAATGTAGAAATAATCACTGTTTTGTCAAATCGAGTTGGAGATGTTGCTTTATTCTTAGCTATTGCTTAAATATTAAAGTATGGATCATGAATTCATATTCTTTTATTAAAATTTAATAATTTAGTTATAAATATACTAATTATTGTAAGAGTTCAGATTCCTTTTTCAGCCTGATTGCCTGCTGCAATACTTACTCATACCCCTGTTATAGCTTTAGTTCATTCGTCTACTCTTGTAACGGCTGGGGTTTATTTATTAATTCGATTTAATTTATTGATTGGTGATACAATTTTAGGTCAGTGTTTATTATTAATTTCGGGATGGACAATATTTATATCTGGGTTAGGGGCTAATTTTGCATGTGATTCAAAAAAAATTATTGCATTGCCTACATTAAGACAATTAGGTTTAATAATAAGAATTTTATCAATAGGATTAGTTTTATTTACTTATTTATTAATTCATGCTTCATTTAAAGCATTGTTGCTTATATGTGCTGGAGCTATTATTTATAATGTAAATAATTTATTCATAAATAATAAATATTCATAATATTCGTTTAATGGGAGGTATAAGAAGTTATACACCTTTTACATGTAAATGTTTTAATGTTGGAAATTTAGCTTTCAGGATTTTATTCTAAGGATATAATTTTAGAAATTTTACCTTTAAGTTATGTTAATATATTTTTTCTTTTACAGTGCTAAATGTTAGACACTTAATTCATTTAGTTTATTATTCAATAATTGAGAATTTTAATTTTTTTAGTTTAAATATATTAAAAGATAATATGTTAGCTGAGTTATATTAAAAGGAATACTTGAACTGTTATTTATAAGAATTATTGGAGGAGGGTTATTAAAGTGGTTATTATTTGTAACTCCTTCAATAATTTGTTTTCCTATAATATTAAAAATGTTGTCCTTAATTGTTTGTATTTTAGGGGGACTTATAGGATATTATATTTTAAAATTTTCTTTACATTTCTTTAATACATCTTTACAAAATTATTTTATTTCAATTTTTTCTGGTTCGATATGGTTTATACCAAATATGGTAACATATGGATTAATTTATAATATTTTTATTTTTAGGTAAAAGATTATATAAAAAATTTGATCAAAGTTGAACTGAATTTTTTGGTGGATTTTTTTTCTATATAAATATAAGAATAATTATAATGTTAATAAGTGTATTTTTTTTTGTTAATATGTTTTTATTATTTGATATTTAAATGGCTTATAATTAGAGTATTACGTTGAAGTTGTAAGGAAGATAAATTTGTCTTTAAATATTTGATATATTAGTGAATTTAATTTAGAGATTTATAAATAAAATATAGGCAAACTCAAAAATTAACTTTCAATTCGTTGACTTGTGTTTTCAAATAAAGCTGTAATTTATAAGCTCGTTCTAATTTAATAGCACGGCAAGTGCCTTGGTTAGTGTCACTAACTAAAAAAGTCACAATAAACCTTGGGCACTGAAATTTTGTGCAGCCTTAGCTACTTATTGAAAAATATGATTAGTCATCGTTTCTAATTTGACAGGCACGAATTCTAAGACTGGCACTTGCAGTCCAAACAAATTGTATACGAGGGCTGCTATACATATTTCTGGCCTAAGCAACACTAAGTGTTGCCAGGTGCAATCTGACATTTCCATTGAAAAGGTTGACATTTTTTAGCATAACATCACTCAGAGCATGTTGTCATTTAATTATGAATTGTTTTATTTACAGAGACTTGAAAAACTCATCTCGACCAAAAAGTGGAATTAACACCTGAACATTTTCGGGCGATCATTTTTCACAACTTTCGACGTGGATTATTACGACAAAAGTGCATTGATGAACTGAAATCTTTGTATGGCCATTAAGCACCATCCTATAGCACTGTGAAAAACTGGCTTAATGAATTCAATCGTAATCGACGCCCGCTCAAGAACGAATTCCGTTAGGGTTATCCAAAGAAGACCGTTGCACCAGAGAACATACAAAAAAAAACTTGGTGTATTGGTGCCACACAAGTTAACCTCATGGCAAAGAAAACCTCATATAACGGATAATGCTAAATTTAACTCCGAAAAAAAGTGAACATTTTTGTGTCATTTTTTGTGGAAAATTGAGATAATTGTATTGGGGTTCGTATAAACAATATGTAAGGAGCCTGATGAATGAATTGGTTTTAATACTTGTAGAAGAAATACCACACAGGAAATACTTATTTTTTAAGTAGAAATTATTGGTTAATCTGAATCAAAAATAAAAAAAAAATTTTCTGTAAAAAGAAATATTTTTTTGTGTACTGATAAATCGTGTGTATGCGTTAGGTGTGAAATGAAGAATAAATTAATTTTTAAAAAATATAATATCGTTCTGAAATTTTTAGGTTATATATAGAATTTTAATATGGATCGATATCAACAATATTATATAAAAATATTTGGTGCATATTCTTTGAAAATATATTCAATGGAAATATGGTATAATGAGCATATGCTTGATGTGTTTAGCGAAGAAAAAATAAATTTCAAAAATTTCGAAAAATAATACCATCCTGAAAATATTTACTTCTTCGCAAAATTTAATACTGAATATAAATAATAATAAAAAATGAAAATTTTTGGGATACATTTGAATAGAATTTTTTTTTGATACTTTATAATTAATTTTAATACAAAAATTTAAACAATCTTAATTGCTTAAACTATTTCTTAAAAGTTTGGAAACAATTTCTTAAACATTTGGAAAGAATTTTTTTTTTTAAATTTAATAGTTAATATCAGTACTTAAATATAAACAATTTTAATTGTTTAAGCTATTTTTAAAAAGTGCAATCAATTATATTTTAAATGCAACATATTTCAAGTTTTTATTATTTATATAGCGTGAGGTATAATGCCAAGAATGATCCATATCATGTTTATTTGTTATGATATGTCTTAGTAGTATAGAAAGAGCTTTGTGGAACAGGAAGTGGTGCATATGGAGTTTTTTATGCTAAATCAATAGTCGCTTAAGAAATTAAAATAAAAAAAAATAAAAACCTAAAATTACTTAGTTTGTAAGCTATAAAATATATGAATTTCTATAAAAAATTAGGTCAAAAATGTGTCAAATTTATTATTATTGTAATAAATGTGACCTTATGATAATAAGTGCAACATTGCGTAGAAGTATACTTATTCAAAATGGAGAGAAAACCAACATTACTTTTTAATAGGAGATTGGGATGAAATTCCGGATCATCATACACAAATCTGAAAGAATTAACACTTCACATGGCATACGAAAAATGATAGAACAGGAGAACAATGAAATATTTTCGCTACCATGGTATAATATTATTACGACTATATTCTAAATAAATTGAATGCTCAACATCGTTTCTATACTATTAAAATAAAACTAAAAAAACTTGCCAGCTCTTTTTGTTTTTATTCAATAAAACTTATAGACATAAATGTCCGCAATGGTATAAATTATAGTATTGAAGTCTCTAATTGTATTTGTGGTTGTAATTTCCAAGATACTTACTGATTTTCTGCGGTTGCGGTCCACTGAGTCTCCGGACTAGTTGATGAATCTAAGCTAACAATACCACTTAAATTATGTTGGCAGATTGTTAAATAGAAATATACCCTATAATATGGAATTTAATGTTTGCAAATTTAATCAAATCAAAATCTATAAAAGCTTTACTTGGTAGTTGCTTAATTAGTATTTATAATATGGTTTGAGATAAAGTTGTATTATTTGAGATATTATCCGGGAGAGATGGTGCCTTTACAAAAAATTTGATGCTAAAACTACATATCTGAATTTCTGCGTACCATTAAGAATATTACGGGATTTAAAAAATATTTTAATATGAACTTATGCTGCTTCTTTCAAAATCTAATAACAATGCTATAAGCTCTACCATATATGAGAGAGTACAAATTTAATACTAAAAATTCCAGATATTTGGAAAATACCACATACACAAGTCTTAGATGATACAAATTTACAAATATTCCGTAAAATTAAAAAGACAATTTCGTTAATACATACGTCCATTTAAAAGTTTGATTGTTACTATAACCCAATATATGTATTACCTACAATTAAATCATTTTTGGAATGTCAAATCAGCTCCTCAATATATACTTCCACACTATTATAATTGGATTCATAAACAATAGGACCAACAAATTATATCATCGCCAAATTATAAGTATTAAACTACTTTTGAATTCTGATTTCATCAACATAATTTTCTTCAAGAGTAATACCTACAACTATTGAAGCGCTTTTCTAATATTTTGATACTTTTCTTTTGGAATAATTTATTTATGGCCTTAAAGTATGTCTCAGTTTTGGCGATACTTTTTTTATCGAAGCTAAATCTCTTTTCTCTGGAGCATTTTTTGCTCCAGCAGTCTGGAAGTCGGAAACAGGTAGTAATCGCAAGAAGACAAATATGGGGAATACTTTGAGTGCCGGATTTCATTCTTTAAATACACCAGTTGGGGCATGCAGCGATCACTATTTATGAACCGACCATTTTCGAGGCAGTCGATCAATAAAATTCTATGCACATTCGAAAATCGAAATGCGTAACCTATCTATTGTGTTTTTGGCTGATTTGGGCGAGGTTTACCGACTACTGTCTATTCAGCCGACTGTCGATTCGACTCTAAGTTTTCAAGTTGGAACCAAGTTTCGTCCGTTGTTACATGCCGATGCAAAGATTAATTTTTATAAGACTTTAACAACTTGAAAAAGCTTACAGAATCATCGGCAAGTTGTTGTTTTTCGTAAAAATTGAACAAACACGGCACGTACTTAATAAAGAATTCTCTTATATACAAATGTTCGTGCTAAATAATACCAACATGTCAAATGTTCAAGGTATCAGCTATTTCTCTCAACATTACTTTACTATTTAGAAAAACGATTTTTTGTGCTGTTTTGATACTTTTCAGTATATCCATCCTTTTTGGACATCATCAGTGTTTGAACGTCAGCTTTTAAAGCCAGCAAATCACTTATATCCCATTTGTTTTAATGAAACAGAGGCCCGGTTGCACTTATTAAGCCAAGATTGTACTATTGAGGTTTCTTTCACCTTAAAACACCAATACTAAATTCAGGCACTCAATTTTGATAGATATCATTTGAAAGTTGCTATCAAAATTTTTAAAATTTATGTGGATTTTTCATTAGTGGCGCTGTCAGTGTATCATTCTACGGACTTATTAGCTAATCACTTATGATTAGGATAATCGAGAACTACTTCTAAAATATAGCCAAAATTAGATGATTCACTTATTGAGAATTAGTGGAAAAATTTTCAACCCACTCAAAACCATCTCATAAATTGTAAGCATCGAAGTTGTGATATATTCAGATGGTGTTGACGAATCATACTCCAACGTGTACTTGTTGTTTGCTGTTGATCACCTCTTACTGCTTTGAATGAGGCCACCACTTACACCCGTCTTAACATAATTTCAAATGTTAATGGCTACAAATAATTCTGTTTAATATTTGTATACCTCAAAACGGCATACCATGACAGTCCAAGTACTTAGACTTGTATTATTTTGCCAATAGAGAAATCGTGCAGATTTTAAAATACCGATATCTTACCATTGCCAGCCTCCTGTTGCAGTCACTTTGTAGTCATTGATTGCAGAATTATCTGTAAAATGTGATGACAGA